TAGACCGTCTCCAACCGTACTGCAAATCTCAAAATTTGCAGTACAATTCTCTCCAACCGAGCGCCATATCCCATCTCATTTTGCGTCTTCCATCCTCTCTCTCCTCTTTTCGACGCAATTTTGCGTCCAAACGCAAAAGAATGCGTTTCATCTTTTTTAATTTCAATTGAGTCCTTCATTTTTATTTTTTATTTCAATTGACCCTTTTCTCTTTAAAAATTAATAAATTCAACATATTTTTATTTTTTGTAATTTAAAATGCTAAGATAATACCATATGAAAAACATAGTTTAAGAAATACTATAATTTTTTTTAGTTTCGTATATTTAAAATAATGAATATCATATTATTTATATTTTTTCACATTAATAGTGTAAATATATATATTAATTTTATACTTTTTCACAATAATAATGTAAAATACTAAAAAATATTTATTTCATAAAAATTATATTAATTTATCATTTTATTTAAAATACTAAATATTACATTTATCATTTTATTTTATATATTTTAAAATAATAATTATTTTATCTATCATTTAATTTTATATATTTCACAATAATAATATAAATATTCATATTATTTATGGTATTGTTATTTAACAATAAAAGAAAACACTAGCATTAAATAACAACTACATTACGAATACATATTGAAATAACATTAGTACATGATAGATCACGGTTCAAAGAAAAACATTTCAATAACTAGTGCTGAAATAAAGATACAACATCACACGGTACTAAAAAAATACATCATAAATCCAACAGCTGAAAACAAACACGAATACTTAGTATTCTGGCAAGTTGGAACCGCTTCCTCCAAGATCATTGAAAAATTGGCCAAATGCATTGGTTGGATATGGATCCGGTTGGGCTTGTTGAGCTCTTTTCTCCAAGATTCGTGCCTTTTCAGCTTCAATGTATGCTCGAACTCTAGGATCTTCAATGGAACTGACATCTTGAAACAGAATTTTATTTTCTTCCCTCATTTCTTTTAAAGCGTGAGATCTATTGCGCATCTCCATTTGGTGTTTTATTTGGTCATTTGCATTTTTCATCTCCTCAACAAGTCTTTTGTTTGCTTCCTTCATCGCATTAATGAGCGATGATGAATCATCATTTACCTTTCTTTTTAGTTTCGCTTTCTTGACCCCAATAGGTCTTTCAGATGGAGAACCAGTAGCATATTGATCCGAGTCGCTTAAATTTATAGAAAATGAAGAGATACCTGCGGATTCTTGTCGGCCAGACTCGGGAGTTGGATTTTCTGACTCTGAAGATGGATAACAACCAGACTGTTTTTTCTTGCTCCTTGAAGCGCCATCTTTAAATTTTTCAAAGTTTTTAATAATATCCCAAACATGATCGTATTTCCATCCGGATTTGAATTTGGAATCTTCTTTGAACAACACTTTCGCTCTGAGCATCTACAATTTTTCATAAACAATTAAC